CCAAAGAAACATCGAGGTCTTCCTCATGAACGTTTCCTGGTCACCTGTGCTGTTAGGTTAGATAAAAGCAAAATTCTATTATCTATTATTTACAGGTTGTTCCCCGAAATCCACATATGATTCAATTATATACCATTCACATACGTTATAAAAATACGGTATGTATATTATATAATATTTCTTACTTAAAAATGTTTTCTATTGAGGTATTTTGGAAATTAGGAAGGTTCATACGTGTACGGCCCAGATAGAATCTTGCATAAACAAATTCCTAGTAAAGCTTGTTACCTACCTAACAAAGCTTGTTGCTACAAATTTTTGACAGCAGATAATTATAAATGAATTTATTTCAAGTTCTGTTATATTAAGTTATGTTTTCAATCTGCTTTCATTCTGTTTATTGCAATATCAAAACAAGTAGTTACGGCAAACAGTATAAGAAACGAACTCAAATAAATATTATTCAATATGGGGCCCGATTCTCGATGCCTACAAATGAGGTGCGCATGCTAAAATCCTATAGTTTGTATTATATAAACTATAGGATTTTTGCATGTGCTTATTTGTACGCGTCGAGAATCGAGCTCTAGCTGTTTCTTTTATTTTATACATATCTAAACCTTGCTTTTTTCTAAAAATATAACGCACTTAAGATTTTTTATATTACAGGGTATTGCTGTTGTCTTTGTGTTATGTGAGACTCGAACATTCGCTCAATATCAGGCTATATGGGAAAAATTAATTGAAATTGTACCAGATTTAAAAAATAATGTACAATTTATAGTAGGAGATTATGAACGCGCTACAAATAACTCCCTTCATAAATGTTTCCCCAAAGCCAGGTTGAAAGGGTGCTGGTTTCATTAAAATCAGGTAAATTAATTTAAGAATATTTTATTTATATGCTCATTCATACATGTGACAAATCATTATATTAAATTTGTAACTTTTTCTTTATTAAAATTTAAAAGCAGTATTGCGCAAATGGCGGCAACTTGGTTTAAAAAATGCTCCTAGGAAATTAATAACGATGGTTATGTCTGTACCATTAATATTTTCTTCTTTATTAATACCAGCTTCTTTATTTGAACAAGCTTTTACAGTACTACAACACATAGCTGATTCTATATTCAGTGATTATCCTATGGTATTACAATTTATTTCTTATTTACGTATTCAGTAATTATCCTATGATATTACAATTTATGTCTTATTTACGTAAGACATGGTTGCCTATAGCAAACAAAGTCTCTGTGTATGGCTGTCCTGTTCGCACTAATAATATAGTTGAAAGTTTCAATAACACGATATCAAGGAAATTTGGATGTAGACACCCAAATGTTTGGATATTTATTGGTTAGTGCTTTGTTTTATAATAATAGTGGCTAATATATATATATATATATATATATA